AGCTTTGGATTGTCCTGTTCATGTTCGGTGTTTTACTAGTCATTTGATGAACCGATAATTGATCACCTGCGGTTCTGGGTAAACGCAACCAGATGCCCCGCAATAATTCCATTCGCCGCATGGGTGGGTTTTCCTCGGAGTTTTGATCGACCCGATTTGCATCCGGCCACCGGTAGCTAATTGTCTAAGTAAACGGGTTTGGTCATTTCTTAACCTGCTGTGTCTAATTCGGAGCTACGATCACCCTATTGGCTGCGGGTGGCGTCCGCCGTCTTGATCTTGGAATATATGTCATCTACAATCATTCGAGATGAAAACGGCACCAGAAACAATCCCACGAACCTACCCTCTTAGCCTGTGGTCAGTTTTCTCACTGTGATTAAAAATGTACTGTGCCTGAGACAATCAGACAAATATCGGACCGTACACAGGCCTGACAATTTGAGCTGTGTATATGTGAAGCTTACAATTTCTCTCCTAGATGAATGGTCTACGCCTGGACCTCGACCAGGTTGGCGGTGTGAAACACCTCACTGATTCTCTGCGCAATCCACCTCCAATATGCAACCCAGCAGTTCAACATTGGCCTCTGGGATAAAAGCCTTAATGAGAGATAATAAACGACCTGCGTATCTGGTGATCCAGAAGCCGCTGCTACTTCCTCTACTAGAGCTGGTTTCGTTCTAGGCTATCGAGCCGAATGGCTTCTCATTGAATGAAATGACAGTCGCTTTTTTGCAACCCCCGGGCGAATTTCCCGTAAACAAAGTCCATAGTCATTTTCCGAACGCAAAACGCACCACGAAACAGACAGTCGACATTGACATTAGCTATATGTGGCGCCGTTCGTTCTGGAACACTTACGTGAACAAGGATCAGACACCTGTTCGTTGCTGCCGTCCATCTCGGACAAGGCGACTTTTGATGTTGTCTTCTAATGGAAAGTCCTGTCTGCAAGTGGTGAGGCACCACGCTTGTGGAATCGTGCAGCAAACTTGAAGCTAATACTGGATGTCGGACAGCACGCATAATTTCTACGATGCTGGTTCAAGCTTTCCTCCAGATAGAGGATAACATATCATTCAACGATTAGTCAGCCTTCTGGTAAGAAAATAGCGCCAGCATGAGTTGAGAAGCTTTGTGGGCTGAAGAGGTGGAGGATGCAGGAAAAATCTTGGGTGAAGCTTTCCTCATGCCAGCCCCAAAGGGGTTTCCGATGGGCCAAGCAATATCTGGAAAAGATGACTAAATATTAGAGTGAAAATTTAAAACAACTGCTCAAGTGACTAACTGCAGCGTCTCACTTGGATTTCTGACACCGGAGGCGGAATCTCCGAAGGCTTTAGAAATAAATATTTGCATTTCTCTGCTGCTGGTCCTGGACAACTCCAAATCAAGATGTTTTAAAATGGCAATGGATTAATTTACCGTTGCTTGACCAGCTCATTTGCTTTTGCGAACACGCCTAAACACGCCGAGTTGACCCGATGGGGCACAAAGTGACTATGACTGTTTCCGAGGAATTAGCTTGCCGTTGTGACCCAAATGGTTCCTGAGCCCACATTCTGTCGCTTCACAGAGAAATGTGAAGAGAGGGCCAGAGAAAAGGAAGCAACATTCCACGCTTACATGGTTTGTGGGAACCACAACTTCACACTACGTTGTGTCAGAACAACCGCGCTCTACAATTTTTTTATCCCTTGACTTCGATAAAAACATTCGATTATGTCGTTCGTTTCTACACTGGAGAACTGATCACATTGCAGCGAAAAACAATGGCAAAATAATATGACCCACGGACTCTTAGAATGCATATAGACACATTCAATATTTGTTACCTTTGTGCATGCGATTCTCATATAGCCCCGACGAGCGAATTTAACCAGAGTGGCCTACCGTATGTTTGTTTCAAATACAAAATTCTTGATACTTTAAGGTAATATAGAATTATTTGCTCACGTTTCTCATCAATCCTGGAATGGATCTGTTCGGATTATAAACAAATGTCGTAGCTCCGCCAGTGGTCTTGTCTGAGACTTCTGAGACCAAGTTGAATCAGCTGGTCACCGCAAGCTAGGGTTCTGCGGTGTCCGGGTGCGTCTCTCTAATATGCCGAAGCTACGAAGGAAGATTTGGTGATTGGTGGTGGATTGGAGATAATCGAATTCCGCAAATTCCTTCTACTCGCAGGCAG